AATAATGATGTTGTCACTGGCTGTCTCTTATAATACCCTCATCCCCTAAAAATGCTATAATTTTCCATTTAAACGCTTTTAAGTTTTTGGTCCACAAACAAACCACATTTTGTCTTTTGTTTGAAAACTAGTGATACAGTATTTTATATGAAAGACAAAATTAGTTTTAGAGATTTTAAATTATCAAAATATCACTAAACACATACTTGCCACTTTTTAAGAAGACAACTCCATTCTGAGACAAACATGGATATGAAATGTTAACGCCTTATTGTCTTTTAAAAGGATACAAATAGACTCTTATTTGCACTTTTTATTATCTTCTATCAACATACTAGGTCATACCGAGTTGTTTAAGTGCTACTGTTATCATTGCTGTCAATTTATTTCTACGTAGATAGATATTGTCTTGTTCAACGCAGCAAAATCAGTCTGAAATTAGACCGCCTCCGTGGTTGACGGTTAAAGTCGATGACTTCAAATCCAGTTACCTCTCTGGCGTGGGTTCGATCCCCGAGATGCTTTAGTAGTAAAGCGCGGAGGAAGGTAGTCTAGTACTGGTGTAACTCTCCAGGAACGATGGTTAGGAAGCTACCCGCCTATATGACTGAAATACTGTTGGAAAAAGGCGTAAAATGAAACAAACAGTCTGAGATTGATAACGTAATGTTGTTCATTCAATATCAATATCTTATTGATTTTAGAAGGAAATATTTAAATCTTCAATATATATTTATACTAGAACAAGCACGAAAAATGATAACGATATTTTTATTCTCAATCTTAATGTAAAATAAATAATGTGATGATGTGTATATTTACTTTACACGACAACTGAATTTTTCATTTCTCTTCACTTTCCGAGAAAATGTCCGTGATAAAATGATAATAGCATGAACAGACAGGAAATGAGTGAGTACTCTCCTTGATAAATTGTAGGTCATCCATATGTCTGCAGAGTCCTTTTACAATTTAACAAGATACAGATTTAAGAGTAAGGTAAAGATGTACTTCCTTGTTCCTTTAATTGAGTTGTTTTTTAATCAAAGCAAATGAAATCCTTTCAACATATGTTTAATTCGCCACAATTTACACATTAAACTAAATTTAGTCTTGATACCCTCATTGTCAAACTGATACCTCATCTATTTTATGTTTAATGTATTCCTGACATTTCTCACTCATTTTGCGAGACACATTATTTAAAGAAAGTAAATCCTCCAGGAATACTGATAAACAAAACATAGATAACGTTAATATAGCTTTATACGAGTACAAGCAAAACACAAGCTCTGCTTTTACGACGTTATGTTTACATTTTGATGTAACGTCATTTGGGTTATACAAGCATTGCATAAAGACGCGCTTAGTGTTATCGTTACACTTTAAGCTTGTCAATGAAATCATTGTTCATTTTGACGGTTAAAATGAATTGTTGTCTTTTGTTAATGCGATAAATAGATAAGAATATATATTTATGTAGCTTCATCACTAAATTAATTGAACTAGTTCGATAAAATAATCGTACTCAGCAGAAGAGTTTAGTCAACGCGTTCAATAAATTCAGTTGATTCAATATTTTATTATTTCACGGATATATTTGAACAGAATAACTCGTGTTATATAAAAGCTTTTCAGTATTGATGAAATGCTAATTTTATTATCACTATTTTATCAGTGTGCGAACTTTTGAATAAGAGACCTTTTTCATTATTCATTAAACGAAGTATATGATTAAAACATTTAATATTAAACGCGATACCTTGCGTGATCATATATAAACGGCAATAGATACAAGAAAATATATTGATCGGTATAATAAGTGCTATTGACCTTGCTTTAAACCGAAACGTCTTATATTTCATTCACATAGTTTTCCTCTACGTTCGCCCAGTGTTACATCGTGTCTTCTTGTTTTCCATGACATAAAAGTGACAGGTTTTATACGCTTTGTAATTCGAATAAAAGACATTGAAGTCATCGAATGTGTCGGGAATATCACTTTGGTACTGTTTAATTATGCAGGAAACAAATTTATGACATATTAATGTCCATTCTGTTATGTTTAAGTCACAATCCTTCATACAGTTGTATTGTACCTAAGACTTGCAGCAACCAATTTGAAAATTATTTAAATACTTTTAACAGCTTTAAAACGGTATTTGTAAATAATTGTTTTTATGTTTTTTTCTTCTTTTTTTATTTTCAAAGAGACAACATGTATATAATAAGGGAATTATAATATTTGTAGCATCGTGTATTTCCAGTAATGCAGTAATGTAACAATAAGGCAGGAAATGTACAAAAGTGACGTCGAATCTGTGTAAATCTATAACCGGAACGAGTAACGCGGTAAGAAATCGGACCAAAATATTTAAAAGAAATTCAAAATTAAAAGAAATAAACAAACGCCTGACATTAAACTTAACCAGCATTACAGATATGTTTATGAATATGTTTATTTTTCAATTCATTAGAATGACGATTTGGGCACCGTTTTGTTGGCCACTTTTGTATTTCGTCGATATCAATATGAGCAGTAATACACATTAGAATTTACTGTTTGATAATCGATGTACTTTAAACATTTTCCAATACTTCTAGTGTTATTTAATCCTAAATGAAAGTAGCAAATAAATACGATTCAAGTGCTTATTATGAGAAACAAGTGTTTCTTCGCTGTATCATTCGCAAAATAAATGTTACATAGTAAAATTGTGTTAATGGAATTAATTTAGTTGCTTAGTTCATCAAAAATGACTCATCTTTAAAAGGAGTTAAAACTTGCAGCAGTTCAGATAACGAAAATCAAATTTCAAAATCAGCGATTTTTATTACATTATTTCCTTATGAGACGTGGCTTCTATGCCTCACAATAATGGGTACGGTACTTAAGATTATAAATGCTATGTAAAGTAACGTTGAACTTTAATATATTCAATACCTTTATTTTATGCTTTTCAGTGGATTACTGATTTATCCGTGAAAATTATATTTGATAATTTCACAGTGAAAATTATCAAAATATAATTTCACTTTTTTCAATGACGAAACTACTTTTTTAAGATTTTCCCCTTGTGGTACCTCAATTTTATTTTTACTGACAATTCTGACAATATCAGGATGTTAAAAAAAACTAGCAAAGCTGAAATAGATAAATAACTGAAATGTCAAAAGTAATGAAGAGAGAAAACTTACTTCTATTCCTTCAAATTCCAATCACAAAATTTCGTCTCTAAATTTTTTTGTTTCGTTTTTACAGTCTGAAAAATACATTCCTTCCCCATGCTAAACTGCTCTTGATGACATTTGGGCATATTAAAGTATCCTACGAGCAATAACTGCCGTAAGCTTTATAAAAATTGAAAAGCATTGACAGCAATCACTCGTAAAATAAGTAAAAAAAACCAGCGTTCCTTACAAATTTTTTGCCTTAACAAGCTTCCAAGTTTTCCATTTTCCTAGCTCCTTTTCTGAATGTTTTCACTTCTGTCAACGCTAATTTTTTGTCTGTTACAATCCTCAAATAAGTTTTCTGTCTTTTAAAAAGGTGTATGACTAACAAATCCAAATTATATCCTTTTGAATCTTTCACAATTATTTTCCTCCCATGAAATACATAACTTTTAAAAATGGCTGCCGCTTACATTTTACAAAGCTAATATAAATTCGCAGTAAGTTACAGAAATATGGATGGATGGATGGATGGACTTTTTCTCCTACAAGAATTGTTTGTTTTTATTATTAAAACAAGCGATCATTCATATTTTTTTAATAAAATGAATAAATATCACCGTCATCTAACCTTGATTGGCGGACTTATTTTTCAGCTCAAGACTATTTGTTTTTAATGAGAAATTCCCTCTAAATGGGGCTCTCAATGGGGAAAACAGATTTTAATATTAACGTTTAAATTATGGAAATTTCGTATAAACTTGTTTTAAAGCATAAAATAAAAAGAAAATTTGTCTGTTTGTTGTGTAAGATGTAATTTTATTTCATCTCGTGAACTTTAAAAACAGTATTCATCTTACACACAAACAAACAAATATCCTCTATAGAATATCCTAATTATACATTGCTATTGTTTTTATCAATATTTGTAAAATTATGGAAAAATGCATTCAATGTAAACCAATCCACTTTAAATGTTAACAGTTTTTTCTCCAAGATATTTCTTTCTACAAAAAAAAACATTATAAAATGACGATTGTATCAGACATACACTATTGGGGAATTTCCCAGAAACGGGGAAAAGGTTGTACTATTTCACTTATCAACTTTATATCTAACAGATATGACAATTTCGTTGTAAATATGTATTTCTAAAAATAAGTTAACTAAGGTAAATTATGAGCAATGTTAATACCAGCAACATTAAAATATGAGCATTGCCATGACAAAACTAACATAGTGGGTTTGCGACAAGCATGGATTCAGACCAGTCTGCGCATCCGCGCAGTATGATCAGGATCCTTGCTGCTCGCTTACAAACCCTATCACAAGTAGAGAAACTGATAGCGAACAACATGTTCGGCGGAAAAAAGCCATAGTTATCGACTTTAACCCAGTCAATTTAGGATGAGCAGCACAGTTGTCCACAATCAGTAATACCTGTAAAACATATATCGAATTCAAATAGTATAACGTGTTATTAATACCGAAAAAAATACTGTAAAGCAGATTAAAACATTTTTTCAAAAGCTTTTCCATAATGGCTTGAACTAATATCCTCATTACTGTTGCTTAATTTATAAAAAACACAATATGCTAAGATACATTGTATTAATTAAATTTACAAGTTGTCATTCTTTTATAATAAATTGATCGTACTGAAACGAGTTGATTTATTAACTTATTATAAATATAATGCAAATCTCACCTTTCTCGATTGAGATGAAAACTTTCTGTCAAGTTGTAGCACCCAATCAGAGAAAAGTTTCCCTGTCATCCAGGCCCGTTTATTGGCAAGGTAAGCCACAGGTAAGGACTTTACACCTTTAAAAACATCTGGGATTAGCAAATCGGCCAATAACAACGTGTTTAAGCTTCTCCGATCCATCCATATTGCAAGCAACTAGGAACGTTAATCTTTCTTTGCCTTTTTTGCCTCCAGTGCAGGTTTCACCACGGACATTAAGAGAGTATGATGGCATAAGTTTGTAGAAGAGCCCCGTTTCATCAGCATTAAATATGGTTTTAGGGGAGAAATATTTCAGCAGGGCAGGCAAAGTTCGCTCCTTCCATTCATCAGTCACCGATGAATCAACGATTCCACTCTCTCCACTTATAGCACGAGAAACAATGTTGTGCCTTCCCTTGAAACGTTCTACCCAGCTTCCCGAAGCACTTACGAATACATTTCCATTAAATATGTCTATTTTAGCCCGTACAACTGAAATAGCAAGGGATTTTAAAATTCCAAAAGCATGCTAATTAGAATTGTGTATTTTTACTTTATAATTATAACTGATTCTGAATTAATTTTTTTTTCATTTTTATCACTTCACTAAGACAAAATAAATTAAAAATTCACATACCTGAAGTCCATATGGCCGAGACTTTTAGCGAGGTTATCAGCTTTCTTTTGAAGAATAATGCCGCTGATTGGCATGCTACAGGCTCTGGCACCTTTAAAGGGAGACACAGGCAAAATTTTCATTTCTTAGTTTTGAAATTTTCATTCATTATTCTGTAAATGTCCTCAAAATGAATACACTAAACAGTCAAAGGAACAAAACTTTTCTCCATATAAAGAATAAAATGGTGTTTTCCTAACTTGACCCGCGTGGGTCAGGTTAGAGCGCTAAAATTTCACAATAGTTGTCACTCTGTACTCTGGAAACGTTAAAAGACATGTCAAATCAATTACTTAGACTTGTTTCAATCATACAATATCCACAATATTTGTTATTGTAACTTCCAGGGTTTGTTCAAATCGCATGACTTGTTTTTAAAATATTCGGTGATTCTGTTCGCGTCAAAATTCCGTTCAACATATTTAGATATATTTAAACTTCAAACCCAAAATATATAGAATTTATACAGAAATTCATGTTAGAACTTTAAGAAATGTCATTTTAGGGTGATTTGAGTACAGAAAATCATTTTTATATTTTTGCCATTATTTGCCTGAGTATCCCTTTAAACCACTCAAAAAGTGCCGAGTCCACATCATCGTATTTTCCGGAACGATGTCGCTTCCGTTTCGGTGAGGATGTTGACGTTTGATACTCCTGTAGAATGATTTCCTTTTTAGACACAATTCCCGAGAGTGTACTTTTTGGAATTTGACAATCCTTTGCTATTTCAGTCTTAGTTTTCCTGCCTTTTTCAATTTCTCGTAAAATATCATATTTTGTTTCTAAACTCAGCGCTTTTCGTTTTCTTTCCATTATAAAGAATAAACAAGCTTTCGATTTTTGCTTCCTTTAATAATTCAAAGGTTTCAAAATGTATTGGCTATCGACATGTAAAATGTCTTTTGCTATATTACAATAAACATATATGGCAAAGACAGAGATATTGTATCATATATTCAAAAGCATACAAACATCATATAAAGTATTACAAAAATTAATAATTCAAACATTTAAGAAACAGTAATATTTTCCAGGGTATTGTTTCTTAACGTAAAAGCATCTTTAATGTATTTAGCAATATTACATATTTTTTTCTTGTTCTTAGTTGACATATAACTATTAAAAATATTCTTATTAAGCCAAGATACATTACAATGATATTTAATTCTAAGATTTCTATATCTACTACAACAAAACATTAAATGATATTCATTTTCAATTACATTTTGGTTGCACATTTTACACAATCGGTTTTCTCTAACTATGCCACTATAACGACCTGTTTCAATTTCTAAATTGTGCGAGCTTAATCTAAAACGAGCTAAACAGTTTCTAAGAGCGTCATTTTCAACTACATTAAGATAGTTTTCAAATTTAAACTCCTTTTTGAAATTGCAATAATATTCAAGTTTAGGCATAGATCGTATTGATGCTGACCAATCTTGTAAAAATTGATCGCGTAAACGATTCTTAAACATTGGTAAATATTTACAACTGTCATCAAAGTTAAATCGTATATGAGCAAATCCAAGATGATCAATAATAGAATGTATACGAGAAGCCCAGCAGCTATTAATATTGTGGTCAATAAGATCTCTGTAAATAACATAAATGGGAGAAGAAACATTTTTCATAATTTTTAGCCAAAAATTTAAAGATCGTTCTTTACAGGTAACAGATAACGGTACTCTACCCAGTTCTCCCAGTACCGCATAGTTAGGGGTGTGTTGTTTTACACCTAGAACATGCTTACAAAATCTGATATGTAATTTGTCCACTTTTTCGAGAAAGACAGACAGATCAGCTTATAGCGTTGGCGTTTTATCAAGCGACTTGCCGTCAGTACACATTCTTGAAAATGCTCCATAACATGTTTAGAAATACATTTACTTGATTTTCTATGCTATAATTTGGAACTGTGTAATGTATATTTATGAACTTATTTGTTGGCATTTAACACTCTTATGCTAAGGTTACTTGTACAAGATTTAAGACAAACAATATTAAGCATTTGTATCAAAGTGTCAAATACCTTATGTCATTTCAGAAGCCTATACTTTTTTCGATTCGACCAGCATAGGCTATCGTTTAATATGGCAGACCCGATAGCATAAAATGTGCCTTACATAGACCAAGTTCTTTAAGTAATTTCGTTTTCGGCTTTAAGATATTGAATCTACATGTATATAAGACACAATGTTGTATTTTAAAGAAGTACACGAACCTATATGAAAGAAATCGTAACAGTTATTCAAAGTCAAAATGCAATAATAGTAGCAGTATTAGTAATATTTCTATACTTGCAGTAATTTATATTGTTCAATTCTCTTGAATGAAGTCATAATGACTCCAATATGACAATGTTAATATCGTTATATGGTACATTTTTACTACTTATTGGTATACTAAGAAAGATACAGCTATTTTCCAAAATTGTCTCTCTAATTCTAAAATAACTTAAAGCATAATAATTTCAATTTTGATAATAAATGACTGCTAAATAACTAACCCAAAGTTCTATTACCATTTAAAATGAACTGTTAAATACATTTGTTAAACATATTTTATTATTCTATTCTTAAACTTTAACAACGAGTTATATGCGTCCTTTTGTGGAGAGATGCTTTATGTAATTAAAACACTTGATGGCTTATGCTCATAATATTACATATGCATATATTTTTTACCATTATTAGGAAACTTGAACGTAATTTATGTACATAGATATTTGTACATTATGTCAATGTCTTTATGCATGTATATATGTTGTACTCTTCAAATTTGGAGGAATAAAAGAATCTATCTATATAGTTATATACCCCCCAAATATCTGAACCATATAAAAGTATTGGCACCACCATTGTATCAAATAATAATAATTAAGTTTTAACATCAAATTTCACTTTGTCAAATAGAAGCATCAGATTGTGGTATGCTCGTAATGCTTGATCATGTAGCGCCTTTACTGCATGTGTCATATTACCTGTATACATAAAATTAATGCCTAAGTAAGTAAAGTTATCTAGTTGCTCAATTTTCTCACCGTTAATATAAAAATCTATATTTACATCATTAGATCTGCGCTTTTCAAACACACATATTTTGGTTTTATTTACATTAATTTTAAGACCCCATTTTTCTGAATAATGAATAATATTATCTATTTGTGACAGTACACTAACAGGATTCGTAGTAAACAATACAATGTCGTCAGCAAACAATATAATATACATAGATAACAATTCTAAATCTTTATCAGTTAAAGTATTCAAGTCTATACTATCAATAATATCGTTTACGAAAAGAATGAAAAGTAAGGGAGATAATGGCTCTTCTTGCTTCAAACCGATCGATACATCGAAAAATTCAGACAACTGCATAGTACTAGATATTTTAACACAAGATTGTACATCATTATAAATACATTTCATCATATTGGTCATTTTACAACTAATTCCAGCTTGAATAAGTTTTTATTATTACGCTTTTTATTACTTGGGGACCATACGCCGCTTTTCATGGAATGGCACGGAAGTGTCACATTGAAGGTTCCATGATTACCGCCGTATGAACACATCTGCGGATGTTTCTAAATTCAAAATTTTACTATTTCACGTTTAAATGTTGAATTCTGCTTAAGCCGGTGCTAGGGGGCGTGGACGGTAATTTGCACTTTCCATTACCGCCCATGAACAGGCTTAATCAAACCGAGTCTGCAACATTTTCAATTTTGCCGTGTTGGGCTTTCTTTATGGATTTTGTATTTATCTATTTTATGATCACATCCGTGTTATTTGTGCCGTGTGGCGGCTGTAAAAAGTCTCTCCGTACATTTAATCAATGATGTTATATTTTCGATCCTTGAAGATCTTTCAGCACGACATTATTGTTGTGCTTGTGGTATTTTTAGTTTCAACTTTTCGGCATTTTCTATATGGGTGGTTCCAATATTCCTACTTGAATAATGTTGAATCACCTTTAGGATATGTTGCCTGCTTTTTAAATTTGTCTTTTGACGTCTTATCTGTGGTACGCAGGCTTCATAACCTCTGACCCCCTTTCAAAATTCCATTTCATTTAGTTCTGCCCATTGTTTTCTCGTTTAGGGCACACGCTTTTTATTACTTGGGGACCATACGCCGCTTTTCATGGAATGACACGGAAGTGTCACATTGAAGGTTCCATGATTACCGCCGTATGAACACATCTGCGGATGTTTCTAAATTCAAAATTATACTATTTCACGTTTAAATGTTGAATTCTGCTTATGCCGGTGCTAGGGGACGTGGACGGTAATTTGCACTTTCCAGTACCGTCCATGAACAGGCTCAATCAAACCGAGCCTGCAACATTTTCAATTTTGCCGTGTTGGGCTTTCTTTAGGGATTCTGTATTTATCTATTTTACCCATAATGCATCCCTGTTAACGAAGTCAAAAGCTCTTTGGTAGTCAACAAAAACACACCAAAGTTTAGATGTTTTGTATAAGATCTTCTGGATGATTGCATGTAGTAAAAAAATTGCATCAGTTGTAGAACGGCCATCTCTGAATCCATATTGAGAGTCACTTAATACATCATTCTTTTCACACCAATTGTTAATACGGTTCCTTAACAATAAGGAGAAAATTTTACCAATTGTATTTACCAATGTAATACCTCTATAATTCGAAGGGACCCCTTTGTCACCTTTTTTATAGATTGGTATAATAACTCCTTTTGACCAGGAATGTGGGTATACACAGTTGTCAAATATATGGTTAAATATTGTACAAAGATAAGGAGAAATAAATTCTCTACAGTCAATAAAGAAATCTGCCACAGTATTTTCGTAGTCACAGCTTTTATAACGGTTTAACATAGATATAGTTTTACTTACTTCATCCACAGAAATAGATTTATCAAGATCATCAATATACACATCATTTTCACTAGAAGTAATAAAATTATTTATATTGAATTGACCATGATTTTCATTTGAAACATTTTCAAAATGTTTTTTAAAATCCTCTAGATTAATAGGAATCTTGGAA